CGCCATATGTTTACTTAACCCTTAAAAAATTTGCATATATGAATAAATTAAATATTTATGTATATACGAGTATTTCATTAATTTAATGTCCACACCGCTGTCAACTTTTATTGGTTGAATCGCCCACCTAACAGTAAAAAAAAACGCTGTTTCGTTTTTTGTTGATATTTCCGTATTTATAGGTGCAAAAACGATATATGTTCGACTGCAATTTAAGCTATTCATGCAATCAGTGGGTGTCTTAAGATTTTTTTTTTTTTGGAAATTTTATTAAAGCATAGGAGGTTATTAATAAGCATCTTACTAACAATCAAAATTGACGCGAAAAGAAGCATGAAATATTACTGCATTTATTACGAGTGATGGATTATTTTTAGCGTTATGCATATTACAAAATATGTTGAATTAATCTTAATTAATTATTATTAATTAAAGTAAAATTACATGATAATTCACAATAGTTATTTTTAGTAAAATTCGATGAAACCAACATTGTTTTATATAGAGCAACAGCCTTTGAAAATAGTAAAAATTTAAAGAAATTCAAAAGAGCTTGAAGCTTCATTGGAGGATAAAGATAAAATAAAAGGAAAAATAATTTACGGGCGATCTGTGGAGTAAACGGTAAACATCTGGATTTCCAGCAAAACTACGAGTCCTATAGGAAAAAATAACATGACAAAGTTGTAGATAATGAAAAGATCTACAACTCGCGTATTAACACCTTTTTGGCATAACTTCAAAATTTATGTGAAAAAAGAAATATCCAATTTTCTTTAATTTTATCTCGTAACAAAAAGTTTTTATTTTATTTTAATGCTATTCAAAGAATCTTTCTGGAAACTTACATTTACACGTTCCAAGCACACTATGCTTCTTTTTTATTAAGGCGCTACCTCGGTTTCCTTGTGTAAAAAACAATATTTTTTCACACGAAAAAAAAAAAAAATTCATACATATTTCCATTTTCATACAAAAAATTAAATATTTTATTATTACAAACATACAAAAAATGTAAATTTCAGCGAAAATTCCACTACATTTTTTCTTCAAATGGTTGTAATCAAA